ACTCCTCTCCGAGCTCGGGCGAAACGGCGACTACAGAGCGGGTAAGGCGAGGGAAAGGCCAGCCTGGCGTCGGGCATCTTCTTTTGGGGGTAGCGCCGCCTCCGCCTTGAATCCCTCCGTGAGGCGTTTTAAAAGGAGGAACGGCCGGGTAACTGTATGCGTGTGGGGGTGGTGGGTGTGAGGTGCAGAGCAACCCCCGCACGTGTGAGCGCAACCCCAGGGTTGGATTTTGGGAGATTCGTCTCCGAGAGTCTGCCTTTCGCTCCCGGGGTGGGTTTCCGGACTGGAGCTTTTCTCCCTCAACTTTGCCGTTGAAATAAAAAGGTCTCTCTCTCTCTCTCTCTCTCTGTGTGTCACACACACACACACACACACGCATATTGCTCCCTCCGCAGACGTTAACTGGGGGTCGTTCGTGACCGCCCCCACCCGCCATCTGGTTCAGCGATCTCGGCCCGAGGGGCGGCGGTTGGAAGGCAGGACGAGTTTTTGGGGGGCGCCCCGGTCGGTGGTGGAAGGAGGCGCAGATTGCCATCGCCGCCACCCGGGCTTGCCTGGGGAGGGAAGGGGGCGAAACGCTGCTGCTCAGGGAAAACATTTTTAAGCTCTAAGCAGGCGCTGCAATTAGCTGGCGGGCTATATATAGCACTTTCTCCCTAATCGTCTTTAAAGCTGAGGCGATCGCGGCGTTGTTTTGAAAATCTAGCCTTTCCAAAGGCTTCTCTCCAACGGCATAACCTGCAGGGTCTTGTGAGAAAGGAGTTTTGGGGGTGAGGAGGAGAGATCGGTCCTGTCCGTTTTGGGGATCCCCCTCCCCAATTGCACATGTCATTCAAATAAGTAAATAAATAAATGGCGTGTCTCTTTAATCATGGAATCCAATTCCCTTGCAGAGAATGCGTACTCTCTGCTTCCGGGAAGTAGTAGTACTGTATTGCTTGACTCTGGGACAGGACTTTATTTCTGACGGAAGAGTTTTAAAACCTCCCTAATCATAAACCGAAAGTCATCCCTTTTAAGACTTTTTCTTTAAATCTGGGGTGCCTAGATCTTGGCCTATCCAGATCAGAGGCCAGTTGCTTCCTCGATTAATGGGACGCTGCAGTTTTTTTCTAACTATGTCAGGATAGGATTAGGCTGAATATTATTGCACTGATGGTTAAAGCAAGTCTGTTTAGCCATCACTGCCTAGCTTGATTACTGAAATACAACTCTTTGCTTGCAGGCTTTGAGAACAAGCTGTACAAGGGCTACAGTCCAGTTCAGAATAAATTGCCATTCTTTGGTAACACTGTGAATTGCTATATTGTTTTGGACGTCTTAGGGGTGGGATATACATAACTTCAACTTACTTGCTTAGAATTGCAGTATGAGAATATACCATGCATGTTTAGTTATCTACTGCTTGCGTTCAGTTGGTAACGTAAAGATTAGTGCCAGTTGAACTTAAAATAATAGACTTTTCTCAATTGCCTTGGGACAGATTTACCTCATTTTTGTAGGTTTATATTTGGATGATGAGGTGACAACAGTTCTAAAAATGGATTGTAGAATTTTCTGTGTTCTTGCAGTAATATTATGTTCATTTATATTTTTAAAGGATGATCCAGGGTTTTCCTGTATCATCTAGGTTCACTAGGATAGGTCTGTTAGTTTAAAAGTGCCACAAGTATTTTGTTTTTGCTATGTTTTTGTTATACATGCTGAAACAGATTTTTGCTATGTTTTTGCTATACAGTACATGCTGAAACAGATAACATAACCACCTCTTTGAAAATTGCTAGAAGGAAGTACTGTATGTACTTTATTCCTTAGTATTGACAAGGATACCAAGCTTCTGTCTGATACAAGAGTTGTACCTCACAATTTAGATTTATGTGTTCTTTAATTGATTTTAAGTAGCTAATCATGCAAAGTAAATTCTCTCAGTTTATCAGCATCATGGATATTTGCAGGTGTCTTAATTTTTCCCAGTATTTCCTAAATCTGTGTGGTCCATTTAGAAGAGACTTTTACTTTGTGTTGGATCAAATAGAAAACCCATTAATCTTTTGCATTTTAGATAGGCTGGAAAAAAGTAGACTTAATATACATTTGAGGGAGCTGCAGCCAAATTAACAGGATTGTAGTATCTTCTCAAATAAACCAGGCTTTCTCAGTATGTTTTGGACTATAACTCCTATCATCTCAGACAGTTGGTACCATGAATGAAGATAATTCTAGCCAATATTAATCCTATTCATATTTTAATGACTTTCAGATTTTTTGGCAATTTCAATAAGAAATACAGAGGGTACACAGAAATGGATGTATACAAGTTAAATCTATTCTCAAGAGAATACATTTCAGAAACATAAGTGGTGAAAAGGAGCTACTTATTTATAGCCGCCCAGAGTAGACCTTGGTCTAGATGGGCGGGGTAGAAGTTTAATAAATAAATAAATAAAATAGTCTTTTAGAACAGCAGAGTAGTTTGTGAGAAATGCATAGCTGTTGCTTAGGATTGACAGTGTCTCTATTGTTATGTCAATATTTAGTTTTTATACCTACAGTGGTGCCTCGCTTTACGATTGCCCCACATTACGACGAATCCGCTTAACAACGATCTTTTGCAATCGCAAAACGATGGTCTAAATGGGGGAATTTTGCTTTGCGATGATTGGTTCCCTGCTTCGGGAACCGATTCTTCACAAAACAACGTTTTTCTAACAGCTGATCGTCGGTTTCAAAATGGCCGGCAGGTAATTAAAATGGCTCCCTGCTGTGTTTAGGGACGGTTTCCTCGCTGTACACGCAGCGAAGATGGCCACCATATGGAGGATCTTCGCTGGATGGTGAGTTTTTACCCCATTGGAACGCATTGAACAGGTTTCAGTGCATTTCAATTGTGTTTTTATTTTTTTTTTTGCTTTACGATGTTTTTGCTTAATGGCGATTTTCCTGGAACAAATTATCGTCGTTAAGCGAGGCACCACTTGTAGTTTATAATGTTGAAGGGAGTAATTAAATTTATTGTAAAAAGTTGCTAGTGCATAATAGTATCCTGGTAATGAACAGAATGTGACATTCCTATTGTCAAAGCTAGAAGTCTTTCAGCTATAATTCTTTTCATTCCAATTTAATATGTTTGCTGAAATCTATAAGTGCTTGAAGCTATGATTATGCCTAGTGAGCACTGGGATATTAGAATGACAATTGCTGAACATACTGTTCTTAAGCTGTGACTGTTGTATTTTGATTGGTTGAAACATCTGTAGTATAAGTTTCCAGAACCAATCAGATTAGTGTAATTATGATGCCATAATACTATTGTAAGAATGGAATTCTCTGTAGTATCTGTAGTTTCCAGAACCAATCAGATTAGTGTAATTATGATGCCATAATACTATTGTAAGAATGTTTTTCATTATTCTGGTGATAAACCAGGCTTTCAAATAAATGTGTCTTTGAAGATCCCTGTAACTGCTTCATATTGTTATGACAATAATGTCTCAAATGACAACTTTTAACTACCGTATTTTTCGCTCCATAATCGAATGACAACTTTTAACTATTTGAGGCAGTAGCATGCAGAGTTATTCTGTGGGGAATGCTGCTCAGTTGGTAGTCCTGATCTAGCTAGAAATAATTTCTACTAGGCAATTTAACAAATTACTCGTTGCAGCATTAAGATTCTGTCTCTAGAGTGCTCCCTCACTAAATGACAGCCATGTGCAGTTGCCACTGTCCACCAACTGGTGTCCATAGCAGAAATCTGCATCCCTACTGCCAACTTTTTTGGTTACCTCTTTCTTCCTTTATAGCCCATATACTTTGGTGGTTCTTGAACTTTTTAATGGGAAGAGATATTTTGCAGTCATGGGTCTATTGATAAAACAAGTCATTTCTGGAGTATCATTTTTGTGTGTGTATAAGGGAACCATGGCATGTTGCACTTGGTTTCTCTCAGTGTGTAAGATACTCAAGAAGAAATAGGCGTTTCTTACTATTTGTCAGTCATGATAAGATGCCTCCTTTGTAAGAAATACCTCTTTTTAAGGGACAGTTGCAAAGATACATATGATTTATTAGTTGTGAAATTCTGAAGATAGTGTCATTAATAATTGGCTTCTTACGGACTGGAATGTTTCATAAGGTATCATGTCATTTATATTCCATTGTTTAGAAACATTTTATGGGGACACCTTCAATTGAGTGCGCTTTGTGAAACATTAAATAATGCACTGAGGGAAAGAGCACCCACAGATCATTTCAGATCCAAATTATTTTTTAAAAAATGATAAATTAATAGCTGTTATTAATATCAGAGAAGATTCAGATGTTTCATTTCCAGGCAGCACTGCTTCTGTTTCAAGGACCTCACATTATCTAACAATCTTTGAGGTCTCCAAGTTTTTTTTTTTTTTTTTAATAAAATGGGGGTTGTTCCCCTAACTTGCACATGCTGCTAAGTTGCTGTCTGGTCATCATTGGCCCCACTGGATTACATCTGAATAAATATGTATGTGATTGTAGTATAAACGTATTTCACAGGTCCGAAGACTATAAGGTTAGGTTGTATAAACAGCTTGTTTTGATTGGTTGAAAATTCTATATTATAATAATTTCCTGAACCAATCAGATCATACAGTTCTCCATACTTGGCTAATTCCAAAATACCTTTGCACAATTGAAAGTAGTGCACCAGCTGTGCTCATTCCTGGAGATATCTGATCTGGCCACAGTGATACATGATTTACTTCCATCTGGGCAGGATAACTGTAATGGTCTTTATGTGTGGCTGCCTATGGAAAGTGTCCTGTGCATTTGGTGGGAACATGGGAGAAGGCCTTCTCTGTTGCTGCTTCCAAACTTTGGAACTCCTTTCCACAAGAGGCCAGGCTGGCCTCATCTTTGCTGTCCTTCTGCAAGCAGACAAAACCCTTTCTCTTCAGACGAGCTTTCCCTGAGTGAGTGACTGGCTGCCTGAACTAGGTTTTTTTAGATGTATAAAATTGTTTTTTAAAATATATTCTTATTCAAATATGTTTTGGTGTTGCTT